CCCGAGGAGGGGGCGCGGGAGGCGCCGGGGGGACCCCTCGGGGGCGACGAGCCCGGGGTCGGGGGGCCCGGCCCCGAGCCCCGGGAGGGGGGGACGCTGGTGAACGGGGCACACGGGGCGGCCGAGCCGGGGCGGCCGGAGGTGGACGTGGTGGTGAAGAAGGTCCGTCGGAGCCCCCGGGGCGAGGGGGAGGGTGGTGGGGGGGCTCCGAACGGGGCCCCTCGGGCGCAGCCCCCTGGCTGGGAGCCTCTGCCCTCGGTGGACTCGCTGCTGGAGGAGCTGCTGGCCCGCGCGCCTGCCGAGCCCCCTGGGGCCGGCGTCTCCATCGAGACCTTCACGGAGGAGCTGCGCGAGATTGAGGCCGAGATGCAGAACGGGGGCGTGGGGGGAGCCCCAGCCACCCCCATGGAGCCCCCGGAGCCGCCCTTGTCCCACGAGGAGGAGGAGGCCTTCGCCAGCTTCGCCGCGTTGCCCGAGGGGGACGCGGGCACCGGGCGGGCGCCGCCGCGGCCCCCGGACCCCCTGGCGCAGGTGGTGGCCAGCCCGCCGCGGGCGGTGGGGCCGCCCCCCAGCCAGCCCTTCACAGGTGGGCACGGGGGCACAGGGAGGGTCCCGGCTCGCTGCGGGGCCCTGCCTGACCCCCCCGTGCCGCCAGGCCCCTTCGTGTCGGTTCTGTTTGGGAAGCTGGAGAACATGCCCCACAACTCTCTGTACGTCAACTTCCTGCTGACGGGGCTGGTGGCCCAGCTGGCCTGCTACCCCCAGCCTCTGCTCCGCTCCTTCCTGCTCAACACCAACATGGTCTTCCAGCCCAGCGTCAAGTCCCTGCTCCAGGTATGGCCCCCGGGGAGCCCCTGCCCTCACGGGTCATGGAAAGGGTTTTAATCCTTTCTAACCCCAAGACCACTGAGTTCGCCCTGTGCTGCCCAGCCCCTGCCCCATGTCCCAGGTGTCACAGGCACATGGCTGTAGCCCCCTCTGGGTCCCCCCTCTCCTGTTGGGATACCCTGTGCTCAGGGGAACACCCCGTCTGATGGGGACCCCGTGCTCTGGTCCTGCAGGTGCTGGGCTCGGTGAAGAACAAGATCGAGAGCTTTGCTGCCACTCAAGAGGATTTCCCAGCGCTGCTCTTCAAGGCCAAGAAGTACCTGATTGCTCGGGGGCGGCTGGACTGGGCTGAGGGGCCGGGGGCTGTCCCCGCCCTGCGGCGCACCGACACCCTGGGTGAGCACATGGCCGTGCCTGGGGGCTGGGGTCTGCCGGGGGGCTGGGGGTTCTGCGGGCAGCTGGGAGTGGCACACGGGACTGGGGGCTATGTCAGGGGCTGGGGGCTGCATGTTGTGTTGGATAAGGAGCTGGGGGCTGCCCTATGCATTGTCTGGGGGCTGGGGGCTGCATGGGGGCTGGGGGCTGGGGCTGGGCTGGGGACTGGGATCTGGGATCTGGGGGCTGCACTGGGATCTGGGGCTGCACTGGGATCTGGGGCTGCACTGGGGGCTGGGGGCTGCACTGGGGGATGGGGGCTGGGATCTGGGGCTGCACTGGGATCTGGGAGCAGGGGGCTGGGGGCTGGGATCTGGGACTGCACTGGGGGCTGGGGCTGCACTGGGATCAGGGGTTGCACTGGGATCTGGGGCTGCACTGGGATCTGGGAGCAGGGGGCTGGGATCTGGGACTGCACTGGGGGCTGGGGCTGCACTGGGGGCAGGGGGCTGCACTGGGGGATGGGGGCTGGGATCTGGGGCTGCACTGGGATCTAGGGGCTGTACTGGGATCTGGGGCTGCACTGGGATCTGGGGCTGCACTGGGGGTTGGGGGCTGGGATCTGGGGCTGCACTGGGATCTGGGGCTGCACTGGGATCTGGGGGCTGCACTGGGGGCTGCACTGGGTTCTGGGGGCTGGGGGCTGGGATCTGGGGCTGCACTGGGATCTGGGGGCTGGGGGCTGGGATCTGGGGCTGCACTGGGATCTGGGGGCTGGGGGCTGGGATCTGGGGCTGCACTGGGGGCTGGGGCTGCACTGGGATCTAGGGGCTGCACTGGGATCTGGGGCTGCACTGGGATCTGGGGCTGCACTGGGATCTGGGTTCTGGGGGCTGGGATCTGGGGCTGCACTGGGATCTAGGGGCTGCACTGGGATCTAGGGGCTGCACTGGGATCTGGGGGCTGCACTGGGGGCTGGGGCTGCACTGGGATCTGGGTTCTGGGGGCTGGGATCTGGGGCTGCACTGGGGGCTGGGGCTGCACTGGGATCTGGGGGCTGCACTGGGATCTGGGGCTGCACTGGGATCTGGGGCTGCACTGGGATCAGGGGGCTGCACTGGGGGCTGGGGGCTGGGATCTGGGGCTGCACTTGGGGGCTGGGATCTGGGGCTGCACTGGGGGGCTGGGGGCTGGGATCTGGGGCTGCAGTGGGATCTGGGGCTGCACTGGGATCTGGGGCTGCACTGGGATCTGGGGCTGCACTGGGGGCTGCACTGGGATCTGGGGCTGCACTGGGGGCTGGGGGCTGGGATCTGGGGGCTGCACTGGGATCTGGGGCTGGGATCTGGGGGCTGCACTGGGATCTGGGGCTGCAGTGGGATCTGGGGCTGCACTGGGGGCTGGGGGCTGGGATCTGGGGGCTGCACTGGGATCTGGGGCTGGGATCTGGGGGCTGCACTGGGATCTGGGGGTGCACCGGGGCCCGTGTGCCCCCAGCCCCCCGCCCGTGCCCCTGAGCGCTCCCGGTGCCGCAGCCCGCAGCCGGAAGCCGTCCCTGGGGGAGCTGCTGCTGCGCCACGCCAACAGCCCGACACGCGCGCGGCACGCGGCGCAGCTGGCGCTGCAGGGGCTGCGGGACGGGGGGCTGCACCCCCTGGCCCCCCCGGCGCGGCACGGCGAGGCCCTGCGCGTGCGCAACGCCGTCTACTGCGCCGTCATCTTCAGCGAGTTCCTCAAGGAGCTGGCGGCCATCGCCCAGGCCCACGCCGTCACCTCCCCGTTCCTCACCGAGCCCCCCGAGGAGTGACCCCGGCCCCTCGCACCCCGGACTGGGACCTTTTTAATTTATTGGGGCAGGCGGGCCGAGGCCGGGCCGCGCTCGGAGCAGCGGCCGCCCGCGCCCCGCGCCCCGGGGAGCAGGGCAGGACCCTGGGGCCCGCGGGCTGGCGGGGCGGGGGCGCGGGGCGGGCTGGCTCTGCCCCCTCGGCCCCGGGGGTTCCTGCCGCCCGCCCCGCCGCTCTCTGTGCAGCCCCCGGGGCGCGGGGCTGGGGGGCTGTGCATGGGGAGGGTGTGTGTCTGTGCTGTGTAAAACCCTTGGCAATAAAGGGTCTGAGCGAGGGCACCGCCTCCCCGGTCTGTGCAGCTCTCGGGGCGTGGGGGGCCGGCCAGGGCACCCCTGCACAGCCAGGACACCCCTGCAGGGCCAGGGCACCCCTGCAGGGCCAGGGCACCCCTGCAGGGCCAGGGCACCCCTGCACAGCCAAGGCACCTCTGCACAGCCAAGGCACCTCTGCACAGCCAGGGCACCCCTGCACAGCCAGGGCACCCCTGCAGGGCTGGGATTGCATCCTGCTGCTGGCCTGAGACACCCCGTGTCTGCTCCCCCTCAGCCCTGGGGACTCTGGGGCTCTGTGAGCCGCCCTGGGGTGCAGCTGTGACCGTCGGGGGACAGCAGGCAGGTCGTGGAGCAGGTGCCAGCGTTGGTCCCCTGGGTGTGGGGTGCCCTGGCCCCCAGGTGCCACCACAGTTCCCACCCAGTACTGACTGGGGACACCCCCAGAGACACCCCCGGGACCCTGCTCATGGCTGTCACCCAGAGGTTTCCTGCTGGTGCCAGGCTGAGGGTGGGGATGCAGATAATTGGGATGGGTGGGGATGAGGATGATGAGGATGGGGTGGGATGGGAGGAGGTTGAAGGGGATGGAGCCCCACTGGTGGTGTCTCCTGGGCTGTTGGGGGTTCTGGGGGCATCAAGCCTTCTGGGCCACGACTCCATTCTCTCTCCCAAACACCCCCTGGCTCTGTGGCCTGTGGGAACAGTGACTGGAAAATGCCGGGTTTCCCGTTCCAGTAGTTCATGTGTTTATTCCTGTCAGTGTCTGCAGCTTTTCTCCAACTGCACAATGCTGACCCTGCTGCAGGAACTCCGGGGAGCAGAGTGGGGTGAGCTGGATTTCAGCCTTGTCCCCAGCAGTGTCCCTTGTCCCTGCAACGTCAGCCAGCCGGCAAAGGGGCGTGGAGCTGCCCCAGGCTGGAATCTGGGGCTGCTGCCTGTGTTACCTGCAGTTCCGGCCTTTTTCACAATTGCCAGTGGATCTGTGACCAACTGCTGCTCATCTCTTTGGGGTTTTGCCCCAGAGGAGGTCATGTCTGTGAAATATCAGACAGTGGGGCCAGCATGGCAAGGAAGTGCCCTGGGCTGGCACAGCCTTCCAGGGCTGTGTACAGTTCTGGGTCCCTCGATTCAGGAGAGACCTGGAGGGGCTGGAGCATGTCCAGGGCAGGGAACGGAGCTGGGAAGGGGCTGGAGGGTTCCTGAGGGAGCTGGGAAGGGGCTGGAGATTTCCTGAGGGAGCTGGGAAGGGGCTGAGCCTGGAGCAAAGGAGGCTCAGGGGGGACCTTGTGGCTCTGCACAGCTCCTGCCAGGAGGGGACAGCCGGGGGGTCGGGCTCTGCTCCAGGGAACAGGGACAGGAGGAGAGGGAACGGCCTCAGGCTGGGCCAGGGCAGGCTCAGCTGGGACAGCAGCAGCAATTTCCCCATGGAAAGGGGGCTCAGGCCCTGGCAGGGGCTGCCCAGGGAGCTTTGGAGTGCCCATCCCTGCAGGTGTCCCCTGGAGGTGGCACTGAGTGCTCTGGGCTGGGGACAAGGTGGGCATGGGCCCAGCCGGGACTCCCTGGGCGGGGAGGGCTGTTCCGTTCCCGGTTTCCCGGCACTCGGTGTCCCGGCAGCGCCGCCCCGTTCCCGTTTCTCTCCGGAACTCCGGAGCCGCTCCCGCCCCGCCGCGTCACACCGGCGCGTGACGTCACTTCCTGCCCCTGCCCCGCTCCCGGGTTAACCCGCGCCCCGCGCGCGCCGCGGCCTCTTTCCGGCCGCGCTCGCCAAGATGGCGGACACGCAGGTGGGGCTGCGCGGGGCCCGCGGGACAACAGCACCGGGACAGCCCCGGGGGCGCCTCTGAGCGGCCACACCGGCCCAGCCGTGCTGGGGGGCGCGGGGGAGGCGGCCCGGACCCGGCAGGGGCGGTGGAGGCGCCGTGCGGGAGGGGCGCTCGGTGCCCTAAGGGAGGGGGAAGATGCTGAGGGGAGCTGTGGGTGGTCTGGGTGTGGGGGGGACACCCGCTCCGCACGGGGGACCCGCTCCCCACGGGGGACACCCGCTCCCCACGGGGGACCCGCTACCCGCGGGGGACCCGCTCCCCGGGGTCGATGGGGCGGAGGGCTGCGGAATCCCGGAGTGCGGGGGGGGCGGTGTCGGTTGGTCGGGATTTTGGGGCGGCGGGGCAGCACAGAGGGGCCGCGCTCCGAGGCCCTGGGGCGGTGCAAAGCTCGGTGCCTGGGGTTGGAGGGCTGGCGGAGAGGGGCCGTGTGTCGGGCAGGGGGACGGAGGCGCGGGCGAAGTGTCGGTGCCCCGGGGGTAGGGGGGAGCAGAGCCGTGCCCGGAGCTCGGGACGGGTCCCGGTGCCCCGAGGGCTGCGGCAGGACAGAGGGTCCCGGGGCTGGGGGAGGGATCTCGGTGCCTGGGGTTTCGCAGGGAGGGCGCGGCAGGGCCCCGGTGCCCCGGGCCGGGCTCGCTCTCGCTGCCGCGCGGCCCTTGCCGGGGGTCTCGGTGCCCGCTCCCCCGTGCTGACCCCGCTGTCCCCATCCCCAGACAGAACGCGCCTACCAGAAGCAGCCGACGATCTTCCAGAACAAGAAGCGAGTGCTGCTGGGCGAGGGCGGCAAGGAGAAGTTGCCCCGCTACTACCGCAACGTGGGGCTGGGCTTCAAGACCCCGAAGGAGGTGAGGGGGCTTGGGCTCAGGACTGGGGCCCTGGTGGTGCTGATGTGGGGGAGGCGCTTTGGGACGGGGTCCGTGGTGGCCTTGGCAGTGCTGCTAGGACTTGGGGCCTCTGGGGGCACTCAGATCTGTGTGTGCCGCCTGACACCCGCCTGTCTCTGCAGGCCATCGAGGGCACCTACATCGACAAGAAGTGTCCCTTCACTGGCAACGTCTCCATCCGGGGCCGCATCCTCTCAGGTGAGCTGGAAATCCCCAGAGGGGTCCCGTGGCAGATGTGGGGCAGGTAGCCCAGGTAACCAAGCCCCGAGGCCCTGTAGCCTGCCCCGGTCCTGGAGCTGCAAATGATGCCAATCTCACGATGGTCTGCCGAGCCCACGCGGGCCTGACGACACTGCCACACGGCTTTACTGATGCAGGTGACAGGACCGGCCGTGCTGGGTGGGATGGCAGCATTAGGGAGGAGGTGTGTTAGAAGGGCCTGGAAAAGAGCCCCAGTGGGGTCTGTAGCACACGGGGAGCCGGTGGGCTGGCACCGAGCGGCCGGTGAGTCGGGAGAGACTCCCGGAGCTGGGCCGTGGTGCTGCCAGGTGCCACAGCCATCCCTGGCAGGCCCTCGTGGCTCAGGTGCGTGTGCCCTGGCGCAGGTGTGGTGACCAAGATGAAGATGCAGCGCACGATCGTCATTCGCCGCGATTACCTGCACTACATCCGCAAGTACAACCGCTTCGAGAAGCGCCACAAGAACATGTCTGTGCACCTGTCCCCCTGCTTCAGGTGTGTGCCTGTACCTTGGCTGTCCCCCCACCTAGGCAGGGCGTGGCTGGCTGCACAGCCCATCCCCACCTGGAGCCTGCTCGCAGGTCATGATGTTCAAACTCACGATGGTCTGCAGAGTCCCCGTGAGGGGCTGCTGACAATGCCTCTGGCATTACTGAACCACGGGGCAGGTTCCAGGCACTGCCTGTCCCAGCAGGCACAGCCGGGTTGGTGGCTCTGAGGGACAGGCGAGCCCTGGGAGCGCCTGACGCCGGGTGTCATTGCAGGGATGTGCAGATCGGGGACATCGTGACAGTGGGCGAGTGCCGCCCGCTCAGCAAGACCGTGCGCTTCAACGTGCTCAAGGTGACCAAGGCTGCGGGCACCAAGAAGCAGTTCCAGAAGTTCTGACACCTGTGGGGACAGGCTGGGAGGAATAAATGCTGGCAAGGTGGAGCTACCTGTGTGTGAGCTGAAATGAGTTGTGTGCAGTGCAGACTGGGACCGGTGACTGTGGGCTCTGGTGTGGTGCTGGGGGCCCAGGCAGTGGCAGAAGGGGACACTGCAGCGGCTCTTGTCACCTGCCGTGTCCCAGGTCAGTGTTGGTTTGTTGTGGGCTGTGACTGCCTCCCCCCTGCCGCTGCAGCAGGTGCTGGTGTGGGTTTGGTAATGATTCAGACTGAAATCACCTGGTGGTGACGGGCAGGTGTGGCCTGAGGGTCCTTCTCGGCAGGAATGAGTGGCTCAGCGCTGGTGGCAGCATCTGGGGCCAGCTCTGACAGTGTCCCCTTCCCATTGAAGTGTCCAAGGCCAGCTTGGACAGCACTGGAAGCACCCTGCTCTAGTGGGAGGTGTCCCTGCCCATGCAGGGGGGTGGATCTGGGTGAGCCTTAAAGGTCCCTCAGCCCAAACTGATGCCATGACTGGCTGCCTCCACCTGCTCTAGGTGAGCCCCACACCTTTGGCTGTGGGCTGGAGCTGTAGGCACTCTTCATGCTCAGACTCCTGAAGGAAAGCTCAGTGTTTGAGGTAAGTTCACACAATTCCAGGTAAATTCAGATTCTTGGAGCATGGTGGCATCCATGCCTTGGTTCCTGGTCCTGCCAGGACCACGGGATTGTCACGTTTGCAGAGGGAGCAGTGGAGGATGTGGGACCTCGTGCCCAGGGACAAGTGGGAGGGTTCCCAGTTGGCTGTGGGGACCTTACTGGTGTGCAGTGCCAGGAGGTGCTGTGGGTGCGCTGGGGTTCATCCGTGGAACTGCCTGGGTTGGAAGGGACACACGGGCGCCGTTGGATCCCTGTGCCCTACTAGTCACCCTGGTCTGGGAGCATTTCCCAGCTTGGGTCACTGCCCTGGGCATGGAGCTCCTGCGGTCGGGATTAACGGGACAGGGAGCGGGGCACCCATCAGCCATTCCCTGGAGCCTGCCTGAGCGAGACCCCCGCTCCTGAGTGGGGCAGCTGAGTCCCCCACAGCGCCCTGAGGGGCTGTGCCAGCGCTGAAACCCCCAGACTGGCGGTGCCACCAGCCCTTAATTCCCAGGGCAGCCCTGCAGCTCTGAGGGTGGTGGTGTTTGCCCCCACAGTTCCCGTGTGGGAGCCCCAGGGCCAGGACCAAAGCCCAGGACCAAAGCCAAGGCTGCTTGGAGCTATCTACGCCCCCCACACCTTAATGCCCAATTATTTGCTCCCGGGGAGATTATCCCAAGCCTTCATCCCGGAGTGATCAGTCCTCCTCCTTCACTCCCCTAAGCAGATTTATTTGGCTAATGCGCCTCCCCTGTGAATGATCCAAACAAGCCAGTTTTTAACCCAAACTGTGATTTTGCTGGCTGGCTGAGCTGGGGTGGCCCTGCCCTGAGCCCTGCTGGGAGCAGTGGGGTCCCGGTGGTGATCCTGCTGCGTCTGCAAAGCTGGCACAGGGACAGCTCATGTTCGAAGCTTTCCCTCTTAATCCCTTCCTAATCCCTCCTAAACCCTCGTGACATGCTCAGAGCTGCTGGATTTGGGTTTTTTTCGGGGGAGCAGCTCCCAGAGGTGGTGAGGGCAGTGGTCTGTGCCCCCTCGGGGACCCCCATTTCCCCAGTCCTGGGATTTACCTTCTGCCAGAAGATCACAGAAGCTGAGGGACCAGCCCCTTTCCTGTGGCAGGAGTGGGGCGCTTTGTCCTTGTCCTCCTTTGCTCCAGAGGAGGAACCGCTGCCTTTGGGGCTGTGGGGACGGGAGGATGCTCTGGCATAGGGCCAGCCAGCCTGGCACAATCCCTGTCCCTGGAGACCTGCCTGGCATGGGAGAGACAGCCTGGCATGGTCTGTGGCTCCAAAGAGCTTCAGCCTGGCACAGGAGAGCCATCCTGGCACAGGAGAGCCATCCTGGCACGATCCATGGCCCAGGAGCTGGTGGCTGTGGCCCTGGCCACGCTCCTCAGCCAAGCCCAACTTGCCAGCATGGAGCAAAGCCCCCCTTCCATTTCCTGAGGGTCCACAGCTCCAGCTCATCCCCAGCCAGGTCTCTCCAGGTACATTTTGGAATGAGTTCCCCTGTCAGGCAGCTCAGTTCTCTGACTGCTTTTCCTCAGCTGCCCAAGGGGCTCCTCGTGCTCTCCCTGCCGCAGAGAGGGAATTGGCCACCCTTGGACTGACCTTGGCACCTCTGTTTTCAGTCCAAAGGTCCCAAATGCAGAGACACTGGTGGATCTAAGGGGCTCGTGATTCCAAGGTGGAGCTCCCCAATTCCTATTTGTCCAAGCTAGAAGGGACCTTAAAATCCATCTCATTCCAAACCCCTGCCATGGCAGGACACCTCCCACAGTCCCAGGCTGCTCCAGCCCCAGTGTCCAGCCTGGCCTTGGGCACTGCCAGGGATCCAGGGGAATCTGGGAATTCCATCCCAGCCCTGCCCACCCTGCCAGGGAACAATTCCCAATTCCCAATCTCCCACCCAGCCCTGCCCTCTGGCAGTGGGAGCCATTCCCTGGCTCCTGTCCCTCCATCCCTGTCCCCAGTCCCTCTGCAGCTCTCCTGGAGCCCCTCCAGGCCCTGGCAGGGCTCTGAGCTCTCCCTGGAGCTTCTCCTCTCCAGGTGAGCCCCCCCAGCTCTGCCAGCCTGGAGGCACCGGGTCTGAGCCTGGCAAGAGGAGCTGCTGCCAAATGTCCTGGCAAATGTCCTGGGGAGATGGAAAATGTCCTGGGGAGATGGCCAGTGTCCTGGGGAGATGACCAATGTCCTGAGGAGATCTATGGCTTTGCACGAGACACAGCAGTAAAAGTGGCAGCTCTGGTGTCACCGGCTGGGCACCAGGAGCACCAGGGGCTGCCTGGGCTGCTGTGCTCCTCCGAGGAGCAGGGCAGGCGAGGAGCTGCCCTCATCCAAAATGAGGATGTGCTTGGACAATTCCCCCATCAGAGTGGCACAGCTAAAACCAGTCTGTGGGCTCCCTTGGCTTCTCAGGGCGTGCCAGCCCCTGCCCGGGAGCCCGGGCACAGGTTGGATGTCCCTGTCCCACCTGCCCCTCGGTCAGCTCCAGGGTCTGGCTGTTCCCTCCCTGTGTGAGCCTGGGGCACCCCAGCCCCTGGGGGATCCTTGTGATGGGGCAGAGCAGACCTGGCCCCATTGTCACCCCACTGCTGAGCTCCTTATCCCAGCTGGAGCGTCCCCGTGCCAGGCAGGAGCTCCCTCCCAGCTGCAGGCCCAGAGCCGGGGCAGTTTCCTGGTGGAATTGCTGCTTTTGGAGCTCTGGGAGCTGCTGCCCAGCCCAGAGCCGGGGCAGTTTCCTGGTGGAATTGCTGCTTTTGGAGCTCTGGGAGCTGCTGCCCAGCCCAGAGCCGGGGCAGTTTCCTGGTGGAATTGCTGCTTTTGGAGCTCTGGGAGCTGCTGCCCAGCGCTGTGCCAGGCAGACCGGGACAGCTGTCACTGCAGCATGAGTCAGGAGGGTAATTACGCACCATCATCTGTAATTATGTGTAATTCCATGTCATTCCATGCAATTCTCTGCCATTTTGGTGACAATATCTGCTGTGCTGACTCAGCCTTTCCCCAGCGAGGGACTTTCCCGTGGGAATTCCTCCCCTTGCTGGGCTGCAGCTGGAGACCTTCAGGTCCCCCTCACCCTGCTGTCCCCTCACACCCCCGTTTATGTGTGTGACTGCTGGGGACACGGCTGTGGTGGCCCTGGCAGTGCTGGGGGAGCAGCTGGGCTCGGTGCTCTCACAGGGGGCAACCAAAGGTGGGACTTGGTGACCCTGAAGGTCTTCTCCACCCTCGGAGGTCCTGGGGGTTCAGGGTGGTGGGGCTGGAGCAGCTCCGGTGGATCTCTGCCCACCCTGGGCAGCTGCTCTGGGGTCCTGGGCTGTTCCCGTAGCACTGCTGCCCTGTGGGCAGAGAGGGCAGTTAATTGTAACAATTAATTAGCTGGATGATTGATTGCCTGCTGCTTCTGCATGAGGCAGTTAATTATCTAGTTATTTATTTTGCTATTTAGTTATTGACTGGTTTGGTTATTTAGTTATTAAGCAAATTAATGATTTAATTACTCAATGGCTTTAATTATTTAGTTATTCTGGAAATTCATTATTTAATTACTTAGTTATGTAATGATTTAGTTTTTCAGTAAAATCATTATTTTAGCAGCAGCCACAGCCCATCTCTGTCACCCGAGCAATGCCAGGGATCCCCCAAGAGCTACCACAGAAATCACCAAAGGCAACAGGGAAATTCCTGCGGGGTTGTGGAGTCCCAGGTGGAGTCTGAGCCCCAACCACCCCTTTGTCCCCTCAGCTTGCTGCTCCTTTTGTGCTGGCAGTGCCCTGGGGCCGCACCAGCCCCGCTCCTGAAGTGGGGAGAAGCTGGGGTGTGAAACTGGGAGCTGGGAATGCCCATCTGTGCCCCCAGGCTGCCCCAGCTGCTTGCTCAGGGGGGGAGCAGCCGCGGATTTGGGGAAACTGTGGGGTCCCTCTCTGCCCCCCTGCAGCACCCAGGGGAGCTGCACATCGTTAGCCTTGGCTCACCGTGTGGGGGAAGAGAAAGCCCAAAGCCAGGGGTGGCATCAGCCCAGAGCTCAGCTCAGTCAGCCCGGCCTGGCTGAGCCATCAGAGAGGCCGAGGCCATCCCCATCCCATCCCCATCCCCATGCCAGTACCCATCCCCATCCCCATCCCATCCCATCCCATCCCATCCCATCCCATCCCGCAGCTCCTCTGTGCCCGCTGCAGGCCCCGGGAGGAGCTGGCTGTGTGGGTAAATGCAGAGGGTGGAAATGGCTCAGGAGCAGCAGCTGTGCAGGCCGGGCTGGGCTGGGCTGAGTGGGGCTGGCCCTGCTGTCCATGTCCCTGCTGTCCATGTCCCTGCTGTCCCATCCCCACTGTCCTGTCCCTGCTATCCATGTCCCTGCTGTCCCGTCCCTGCTGTCACCCCGGCCTGCGATCAGCATCCCTCAGCACTGGGACGGGCACAGTGACTCTCAGAAGGGTCTGGCCTGGCAGGGACAGCAAAGCTCATCCTGTCCCGCCCCTTGCCGGGGCAGGGACACCTTCCACTGGGACAGGGCTGCCCCAGCCCTGTCAGCCTGGCCGGGGACACTTTGGGTCCTTGTCTTTAGAGCTTTTGTGAGGCCACAGCCTGCTCCAGCCATGGTGCAATGCCCCTTACCCCGAGGGGATGGGGGCTCAGCGAGGGGCTGCCCCAGGACACAGCACGGACACACCAGGGACACACCAGGGACACACCTCAGGCACTCTCCAGGCCCTGAAGGAAGATGGGGTTCGTGTCCCGGTGACCTGCTGTGCCAGGCTGCAGGATCTCCTCCACCCGGAGCCAGCCAGCCTCCGCAGCAGTGGCTGCCCAGGGCCTCAGGGGGTGGCCCTGGTGTCACCTGCCTGCCCCCACACTGGGTGAACCTCCAGGAGCCCCGGGGATGATGCCACATCCTCGGGTGTCCCGTGGCTCTGCCTGGCTGCAGGAGCATTTCCTGCCTCACAGAGACCTCTGGGGTCACTCTCCCAAAGTCTCAGCGTTTCTCCACTCGGATCCCCGTGGTGCTGTCCGTGTCTCCTCTCTGCTGCACAGCCCGGAGCTTCCCTGGAGCCATCCGTGCTCCTCTTCCTCACGCCAGCCCTAGAGAGTGCCCGTGTGTGCCCCGGCTGCGGGGACAGGGGGGCATCCCGCACATGTCCCTGCTCCCAGGGTCACCCTCCAGCCCTGGGGCTGGCCGGGTGCTGCACCCCGGGCGCTGCTGTGGGGACGTGGCTCACGCTGGGCGGGTGTGCGGGTGTCTCTGGGCCACTCTGGGGTGTCTGGGGCAGGGGGCACCTGAAACCAGCCCAGGGGAAGAGCCTGTGGCAGGAAGGGAGCCTGGAGCTCCTGCACAAGCCCCACGGGGGCACAGGGGCAGCACGTTCTGCTCCACGGGATGCCAGAATCACCGAGCCCGGAGAAACCCCCGAGGCACCGGGTCCGGCTTTGAACCGAGAGGCTCCCGTGCAGCTCCTGCCCTGGTGCTGCCCTGGTGCTGGCACAGGGCTGGGCAGGAGCCAGCCCAGCTCCCTCCCCGGACACTCACAGCATCACCCAAACCTTCCTGCAGCCCGAGCGGGGGAACCAACCCCAGTGCTGCATTTGAGATGCATGAGGCAGCAGAGGAGAGGCAACACCCGTATCTGTAATTGCGAGGCTCCTGTTGAACGTTCCCACAGCAGCTGCAGGAGCGATGGTGCCTTGCCAGAGCCTTTCCTGGATCCAGGATCCTTCTGCAGGGCCAGAACCTCCCCGTCCTTGTTGCTCCAGGAGCTGTGCCTTCGGGGGAGGAGGGCGATGTGTCCCAGGGTGAAGGAGGGACGGGGAAGGTGGGGTCGGGACTGAGATCGGTGTTTCTGGGTGGGGCAGGACACTCAGTATTGACTTTCTGACAATCCTTTTTGCACTTGATGGTCTTAGAGGTCGCAGAATCCCAGAATCCCAGCAAGCTTTTGGTTGGAGGGACCTCAAAGCCCACCCAGTGCCACCCCTGCCATGGCAGGGACACCTCCCACTGCCCCAGGCTGCTCCAGCCCCAGTGTCCAGCCTGGCCTTGGGCACTGCCAGGGATCCAGGGGCAGCCCCAGCTGCTCTGGGAATTCCATCCCAGCCCTGCCCACCCTGCCAGGGAACCATTCCTTCCTAATAATGATTTGGAGATTGTTGATTTGGTCAATGAGCCTCACAAGAATTATAACCCCCATGGCAGATCGCTGCCCATGGCTGGGGGTGGCTGGCAGAGGGGGCTGGCAGCTGGAGGAGGCTGCCTGGGGAGGTTCCAGCAGTGGAACGGGACAATTTTCACCTGCTGCGGGTAAAACTCGGACATCCATGGTGCTCTGGATCCCAGGAGAGCTCGGGCTGTGCCCACCTCCTGCTCAGCTCTTCACCACCCGGCCCAGGTCCGGCACTGCGAGGAGAGAAGAAAATCACTTGCAATGCAAATGCTGGAAAAGCAGGAAATGCCTGACCGGGAGCGTTACCTGCTGTTAATGGTTAATGCACCGGCGATTTAAGGCTCACCGGTGCAGGGCCGATGCTCCTGGCGAGGCGTGGAGAGGAGAGGAGGGGTCGGTGCCGCAGCCCCGGCAGCACCGGGGGCTCCGGGCTGCCCGGCCGGGGCGCGGATCCCATCCCGGTGCGGGGCTGGCCCTCGGTGAGTCACGCGTGTCGAGCATCGATACTGGGGAAGGATTTATTCCTATATTTGGGGTTTTACAAGGAACTTTGGTCTGAGCAGGGTGAGAAACGGAGGTGGAAAGCCTTGCTGAGCTGCTTTGTAGCCCACGCGGTAGCACTGGCTGGTGTTGGAGCCTGGGGATGCTCCCAGGCAGATTTAATCCCCTGCTCTAGACCCACACAGGCTTGATTCACCTGGGTGATGGGTCTGCAAGTGGGAGAGGTGACTGGACAAACATTTGTGACAGAGCTGAAGGCCTTTTCTGTCCTGAGCCATGTTTTAACTGTGGATTTTTGGTTCAGGGTGCTGAGAGTCCTTAATGGAAACACTTAGAAATGCAAACACGTCTGGCTTGGGTACCTGCTGCTTGAAAGTAAATCAGGCTTCGAGCAGGGAAGGTTTATCTCTGGTCTGAATCCAACTGCCTTTCCTCCATCCCAGCCCCGGCCTGGAGCTTTTTGTAAGGTATGATGGAGCCTACACAGGGAATGGGAGCTGGGGGTAAGATGGGGGAAGCACATAAACCCGGCAGACCTGTGGTACTCTTTCTCCTCAAGCCCTTCTCGTGGCAAAGCTTTTGTGGAGGATTTGCAGCTTGGCTGGTTTGCATTGTTCACATCTTCACAGATCCCCTCAGGCGGATCAGTCACGGGACAGAGCTCCCGGGTGGGTATGGAGCTCCAGCTCAGGCTGCCCCAGCACTTCAGGAACTGGGAACAGTGAGCTCAGAGCCTGCAGGGCCCAGCATCAGCACAGAGCTCTGCAGTTGGGGCGTCTCTCGGGGGTATTTCTGCTTTGGGCCAGAACTTCTTTGTCCAAGGATCGCTCCGTGCAGTCCACCATGTCTCTGCCCCTCTTCATGAAGGAGTAGAAAAGGAATGAAGCAAAAGGCAGGGAAAGAAAGGGCTCCCTCTGCTCTAGAGCCAGGCTGGGAGAGCTGGGGTTGCTCAGGCTGGAGCAGAGAAGGCGCCCAGGTGACCTTGGAGCCCCTTCCAGTGCCTACAGGGGTTCCAGGTGAGAAGTGTGATGGGTGCCCACAGCCCTGAGATGCCAGTGGAATGTCAGTCACATCCCAGACACTGCCCAGCATTGATACTGGGGAAGGTTTTATTCCTATATTTGGGGTTTTACAAGGAACTTTGGTCTGAGCAGGGTGAGAAACGGTGTCATTTCACGTCCCTGGAGTCCCACCACAGACACAGCTCTGTGTGTGTGCTCACAGATGGAGCCACTGACTGTGACAAGGCTGGGGGTGACTTTATGACTATTTCTATGACTTACAAGGTTTTTGTGGCAGTGGATGAGCAGAGCTGGGAAAAGGCCTGACCCATTTAGCAGTGGGAGAACAGAGATGTTTTCCTTCCAGACACACTTTGTAGGACTGGCAGAACGAACGGGGTCCTTTGTACCAAACACAGCGAGGGAACCCCTTGGGGTGGAATGGAAGGCAGAAGCCTTGTCACTTGTGCGCTGATCTGCAGCATCTGTCAGGTGTCATGGGCCAATGCAGGCTCTCAGGGCTGGTTTATCCCTTCTCCTTCCCGCACAGAGCTGAGCCAGGCCGGCCCCGAGCACGGGAGCACCATGTACGAGCTCAATGAGAGCAGCTTCGACCCCATCACCTTTGTCCTGACGGGCATCCCGGGCATGGAGGAGTCCCACATCTGGATCTCCGTCCCCTTCTGCCTGATGTACCTCACCGCCGTGCTCGGCAACCTGCTGCTGCTCTTGGCCGTCGCCACGGACCGCAGCCTGCACGAGCCCATGTACCTCTTCCTGGCCATGCTGGCCCTGTCTGACCTCCTGCTGTCCACCACCACCGTGCCCAAAATGCTGGCGATCTTCTGGTTCAGCGCCAGGGAGATTTCCTTCGACGCCTGCATCACGCAGATGTTCTTCACCCATTTCAGCTTCATCGTGGAGTCCTCGGTGCTGCTGGCCATGGCCTTTGACCGCTACGTGGCCGTGTGCGACCCGCTGCGCTACGCGTCCGTCCTGACCCCCTCGGCCATCGGCAAGATCGCCGCGGCCGCCGTGGCCCGCGGCTTCTGCATCATGTTCCCGCCCATCTTCCTGCTGAAGCGGCTGCCCTACTGCGGGCACAACGTGATGCCCCACACCTACTGCGAGCACATGGGCATCGCCCGCCTGGCCTGCGCCGACATCAGGGCCAACGTCTGGTACGGGCTGACCACGGCGCTGCTCTCCTCGGGCCTGGACGTCGTGCTGATCGCCGTCTCCTACGCGCTCATCCTCAGGGCCGTGTTCCGCCTCCCGTCCCCCGAGGCTCGCCTCAAAACCCTCAGCACCTGCGGCTCCCACCTCTGCGTGATCCTCATGTTCTACGTGCCGGCCTTCTTCTCCTTCCTCACGCATCGCTTCGGCCACCAGATCCCCAGCCACGTCCACATCCTGCTGGCCAACCTCTACGTGGTGGTGCCACCCATGCTCAACCCCATTGTCTACGGGGTGAGGACCAGGCAGATCCGGGAGCGCGTCATCCGCCTCCTGTGCCCCACGGGGGAGTGCCCCTGCCCCAGCTGGGGTGGGGTGTGCTGAGCAGGGCAGGGGGACGCGGGGTGGGCTCCGGAGAGCAGCACGGCTCTTCTTAGCCTGCAGGAACCGCTTTGCCCAAGGGAAAGCGGTTCAGCTCCAGCTTCTCCCTTGAAGGGAAGCTGAGGGTGGTGTGATCTCTGGAAACCTGGGCTTGGCTCATCAGCATCTTCACTGCTGCTGGTTTCTCCTGGAGCTGCTCCCCTGAACTTCCTTCATTGGCAGAGACTGGGTAGGTTCAGCTGAGAAGCAACAAGGCACTTAGACCTGCTGACTCGCTGTCACTGCTACAGCTCATGTTTTCTGTCCTACAGCTTCATCTCTGCCTCTTCCTTCGCCTGTCCTACAGTGCCCAGACCATGAGCGCCTTGTTGGCTGCCAGACTGAAGCATGGCACTGAGCATGGCTGGATGGCACCAACTGCTCACCACGGCACAGAGGGGTTTGTCCTCCTGCCCTCATTGCTGAGGGACCCTGGCACTTCCTGCTGCTGAAGGGGTTTCCCTGCTGAAGTGTCCTGAGAGCTTGGGAAAGGCTCTATTGTCCTGTGTTTGAGGGAAACATTTCCCTTAAACCACGACTCCCAAATGCAATTCAAGCCTTTACAGGGCTGTGTAAAGGGACAGTGATTTCCTACCCCACCACATCCCACAGAGATGCTTTCTGCCTTGGCCAGTACAGCTCTGCCTCACCCAGGCAGCGAGCAGAGTTCTGGCTGGGGTGGTTAGGGAGCCCTTTCTGGAGGCTGCACACAGCAATGCCAGGAGTGGGGTGGTCGGCCCTGTGTCACCTGTGAGCCCCCATGAAGGGTCCGGTGTGCTCCTGATGCTACTCCTGGGGTGCTGCAGGGCAGCCATTTCTGCAGAATGTGCCTTTGCCCTGGTGTGAGGGCAGTCAGCACTCCCAGTCCCACAGCCTGACTGGGCTGCGAAGCTCTGTCAGACCTGCCCACGCTGGGGCAAGCACTGCTGCACACCTGGGCACACCTCGGAGGTGTCTCATGGGAGGGATGGTGGCCCCGGGGACTGGCTCTGCCAGGATCTGGCTGCAGGAAATGCTGTGCCCCACTGAGGGTGGCAGCTGTGCAACCATCCTGCCTGGGGCTGGTCAAACCCCGTGTTCCTGAGGAGGGCAGGAGCTCAGGGCACACCAGGTGTGCTCAGACCTGCATTACACAGGAGCTGAGATCAAGCCAGCAACCCAACCAGCTCTGCTCCAGCCACACCAGTAATGCTGCCACGACTTCAAAAGAAAAGGGGAAGAGGCAGAGTCGTGATTTCAGATCAAACCCCCCAGAAGTTTTTCACTTTTGCACCACATTTCTTCTTTTCTTTTCTTTATTTTCCTCTGATTTGATCAAAGGTGGCACCGTGTGACGGGCACAGGGGAAATGAAAGTCTGTTCATTAAAGGCTGTTTGTCTAGCAGCGGAGATAACGGGGCTGGTACAAAAGCTGCTCGTGTCACTGGGCTTTTTAATGTCCTCAGAACGTTCATGTTTGCGTTGGCTTTCTTAGCAAAAAGGGGGAAAAAAAAGAGTGTTTGCTCAGAGCAGCCATGTAATTTTCGATAGGAGATGGAGCTGTGAGAAGGAAAATGTGTCAGGAGAGCATGTTGCTGTGGGCAGCTCAAAGAACAATTGAGCTGCTGCCTGGGTTTGTCAATAGATGGGGCTTGCAGCAGCCTGGGGCAGTGGAAGGTGTCCCTGCCACGGCAGGGGTGGGATGAGATGGGATTTAAGGTCCTTTCCAGCCCAAACTGTTCTGTGGCTCCATGGCTCTGTGGATCTGTCCGTTCCTGGGGATTTCCCAGAACGGTTTTGCGCAATGGAGGAGGCAGATTTGAACTCCTGCTCTGCTCCTTGGCTAGATGTGGTAGCCAGGTCAGGAGCAAACTGCCCAGGGAAATGTCCCCAAGTCAATGAATCACCAGCTGGGCCATTCCTGGCCAGGGGCCCGTGCCTAATGGGGCATTAGCCAGCCAAGCAGGGAGATTTATATTTCAAGGTGTTAAAATGTCAGCTTAATAACTCACAAAGGTGGGAACCACAGCTCCTTCACTTCATTTTTTTTTTTCTAAATCTGGAGACACCCACTGTGTTTTTAGCTCAGTTCATGGCTTTTGTAAGTGTGTTTGGATTACAGGGATCTTTGCCTGGTAGGAAGGAGGGGAAGGAGGAAGGTTCCCTGCCTATGGCACAGAGTTAGAAGAGGTGATTTCTAAGGTCCCTCCCCACCCCAACCATTCCACCATCCCATTATTCTGTAATTTTAACTGGTGTTTTTCCCAGATACCACATGAAGGAAGTAAATGGAACCTCAGAAATCTTTGGGAAATAAGTGCAAGTCATGGAGAAACCCTCCTGTGCCCCCAGTGAAGGTTTCTGTACAGAGGGGGAGCTGAGCCTGCGCTGGAGAGGCGATGGAGCCTGGGCTGTGGGTCAGGCTCTTGTGTATGAAAGGGAACGCTGCCGGGGGGATGGCTGTGCTGGGGACAGGGACAGGGCCAGGGCCAGGGACAGGGACAGGCTCTCAGCACGGACACAGCTCGCAGGTGCCCCTCTCCACTCAGCTGTACTGCTCTGCTGGTGCTTGGAAACTCTCCTTCATTCCGCGCAGCCAAGCCTGGCTCCAGCTCTCGCTCTCCTCTCCTGGCTTCGGCAAAGGGCAGGACAGAGCTCCTGGGGAAGGGTGGATGGGGAAGGGGAGCGTCCCCTCAGTGCCCCTGAGCGGCGTGGAGCCCACCTGGGATGGGTGAGGAGCCCACTGGGAGCTCGGGGGTCGGGATGCCCGTCCCTGGAAGTGTTCCAGGTCAGGCTGGATGGAGCTTGGAGCAGCCTGGTCTGGTGAAAGGTGTCCCTGCCCATGGCAGGGGGAGAACCAGGATGATTCCATCATTCTGTGAAATGTTAATTTAATAAAATCCTATGGGAATGAATCACACGGACTCCATTTCTTTCATGGTGGAAAAAGCCTCTTTTTTATTCACTTTTATATAATTTTTACTGACCTCGTGGGTGACTCCAGTTGGTCAGTAGCTTCTTTGCCAATTACTTTATTGGTTAATAACAAGTTGTTATTCTGTATTGATTGGTCACCCAAACCCCCGGTGTGTACGTGCAAGGAAAGTTGTTTGTGAAAGGTAGTTTTCATTTCTCTATCTAAGGGTGCAAAAACAGTTTATTCAGGTGCTGGTTGTTTTCCACCCGGGAAGAGATTGTTATGCTAACGAACTGCTCACACCAGGATTGCTTCCACTTGGGAACCTGCGAAGTGCTGGCTCTGACAAGGTCAGCCACTGATTCCAGGGGCGCAGGCTGGATTTTATCGAGCCTTTCTTTGTGATTTCTCTACGTTACTGCAACAGAGCCGCACTTCACAGACGGGCAGGTAATAAACAGCACGATCCCCTTGCCTGGAATGAGACAGTAACTCAGCCCTCGCGGGGAAGTTTTGGGTGACTGGTTTGATCTCATGGATTAGAGATTCCTGCTGCTCCCAAAGGTCCCAGCAGCTCCCTGAAGGCTCGTGGCAGTCAGGAAGCTGCTGACTGCAATTTCCCTGCTGAGGCTCTCTGCAGGTTCCTAGCTGGCCCAATTCTAGTGGTCCAAAAAATCAGAAATGTGGACAAAATCACTTAAGAGGTTTTTAGCAGGAATGTCTGCTGATCTCTGGCTCAGAGCTCCCAGTTTCCCCTCCACCGTGGTTCCCAAAAAGTTCAAACAGTTCTGGGTCCGAGGGCACTCCCAGTGTGGGGCAGGAGCAGGGGCAGAGCTCGCAGCTGCTGGGCAGGTCCCTGCCAGCCCAGGCTGGCACAGCACAGCCCAGGCTGGCACAGGCACAGCCCTGGGGTCTCTGGGGTCCAGGGGCAGGGAATGAGCGGTGCAGGAGCGGCTGTGGCGCAGGACCCTGAGTGATGGGGTGGTGAGGGCTCACTGAGTTCCTTCGGGGCAGCCTGAGGGGCTGCAGGGCTCCTCCAGTCAGTGCACTTCATTAGTACACTTCATTAGTGCAGTTGTAGGAAATACCCAGGGAAACAACCTGCTGAGGCCCCTGTGCCCTCCCCCCAGAGCTCAGGTGTGAGCACAACCCCCTGCCCACCTGAGTGCCCCGGGGCTGGGGCAGCGGGACAGAACAGGGCTGGGACCTGGCACTGCTGTTCCAGCCTTTTCAGGCTTCTGAATCCTTTCATATCCAGAGTGGATCTACTGGAGCGTGTCCAGGGCAGGGAACAGAGCTGGGAAGGGGCTGGAGAGTTCCTGAGGGAGCTGGGAAGGGGCTGGAGAATTCCTGAGGGAGCTGGGAAGGGGCTGGAGAGTTCCTGAGGGAGCTGGGAAGGGGCTGAGCCTGGAGAAAAGGAGGCTCAGGGGGGACCTTGTGGCTCTGCACAGCTCCTGCCAGGAGGGGACAGCCGGGGGGTCGGGCTGTGCTCCAGGGAACAGGGACAGGAGGAGAGGGAACGGCCTCAGGCTGGGCCAGGGCAGGGGCAGGGTGGGTTTTGGGACAATTCTTTCCCAGAAGAGCTGTCCAGCCCTGGGACAGAGGTGGAGATCCCATCCCTGGAGGGATTTCACAGCCCTGTGGATGTGACACTTGGGGACATGGGTCACTGGTGGCCTTGGCACTGCTGGGGAATGGTTGGACTCTGTGGGCTGAGAGGGCTTTTCCAGCTTCAGTGGCTCTGGTTCTGGGCTTTGCTCTAGCTCCAGCAGCTGCAGGCAGGAGATGCTCCTGTCTCAAAGGCTGCAGCAGCAGAAATGCCAGCGCCCAGCCAGGATGAAGGAGCTGTGACAGTGGAGGGGCACCCTGATGAAGCAAACTGCCCAATATTTACTATTCCCAGTTAAAAGGTGTCCCACGAGGTAGGTGTCTGTGCCAGGAGCAGTGCTGGCTGTGAACCAGCTCCCCTGAGGCAGCCCTGGGCTCATTCAGCTGCTCTTGGAGCCTTTTCCTTACAGCCCCACCTGGTACAGGCTGCCCGGAGAGCCTCTGTCCCCACCCCTGCAGTGCCCAGGCCAGGCTGGACGGGGCTGGAGCAGCCTGGGACAGTGGGAGGTGTCCCTGCCATGGCAGGGGTGGCAATGAAGTATGCTTTAAGGTCCCTCCCAGCCCAAACCCCGTGTAATTCTGTGATTCCACGATTCCCCAGCTCCTGCAGCTGAGGGACACTGTGCTGTGCTGCGTGGGGGCACTGCTGGGAGCTGGGTCCTGCTGCTCCCTGCAGGGAGGGAGGGCAGCCCCCAGCCCCTTTCCCTGCACCCTGCCCTGCCCCAAACCCGTGGTGGTCTCTGATCTCTGCCCACCCTCTTCTCTTTCACTGGCTGCCTGGTGCAGATGCCAAGCAAGCCTTCCTCAGGTAGCTCCGGCTCAGCCAAACTAGGGGAAAAAGGAAAATTTTCTCACTTAAGTCAGGAAAACCCTAAGTTCGTGTGCTTAAATTTAACAGAGAAATGGGATTATCAGAGAAATCTGAAACAGCTTCATTTGCCTTTAGATTCAAATAAAATAATGGCAAAGTGAATATGAGACTTGATCAATAAAGTGAAAAAGGGCAGGAATGTAATTAACGGCAATCAGTGCTTGTTTGGGCATTCAGCTTCCGTGGAGACATGGATTTTCATTTTCTGATGCATCCACATGGGCCGATAAAGTTACCCCAAGCCTGAAAAAGGTTACCCCAAGGCTTGATGCAACCCGAGTATATTTATATTCACAGCATAGTGATATAGAGCCCATTATACCACACAAACGAATTAATAAATCATAAGTAAAGCAGCTGCTGGTGGACTTTGGCCAACTGAAAAACCTCCCTCCAATCTAGGTCTCATTTTCTGTGTGCTCCTGCAGGGATTGGCTGGATGCTGGCTCTGATGTTGTGTGATTGGTATCAGTTGTGCAAACACAAGTTTAAAATCGTTGCTAATGAGGTTTCTGGCTGATGCAGAGACATTCATTTGCTAATTTAATCGAGGGGAGAAGGCCCCCCAGGAGGGGCCCAGCCCCAGCTCCAGCGAGGAGGGGCTGGGGGAGCTCCGGGCTCTGAGGGAAGGAGGTGGGGTTCCCTGGGGGATGCTGGCCCCAGAGAGGGTCTCAGCCTGTCCTGCAGCCAGCCAGGGGCACGGTGGCAGCATGGGCAGTGTCCCTGGGCTGGCTCCCAAACACTTCAGCAGCCCCCAGGGCGGCAGGTCTGGATGTGGTGGGGACCAGCAGGGCTGGAGCTGTGCTGGCTGCAGGAGGGGTTTGCTCCTGGCTGCAGGACAGCTTTGCTGCTGGCTGCAGGAGGGTTTTGCTCCTGGCTCTAGGACAGCTTTGGTGCTGGCTCCAGGAGAGGTTTGCTCCTGGCTCTAGGAGGGGTTTGCTCCTGGCTGCAGGAGAGGTTTGCTGCTGGCTGCAGGAGGGGTTTGCTCATGGCTGCAGGAGAGGAGAGCTTTGCTCCTGCCTCCATGAGAGGTTTGCTCCTGGCTGCAGGAGGGGTTTGCTCATGGCTCCAGGAGAGGTTTGCTCCTGGCTGCGGGAGAGGTTTGCTCCTGGCTGCAAGAGGGGTTTGCTGCTGCCTCCACTAGAGCTTTTCTCCTGCCTCCAGGACATCTCTGCTCCTGCCCAGCACACGCCAGCCCTGCCCGGTCCCCGTGGGACACCTCCCGCTGTCCTGCTGGGCTCCCCGGCCCCTCTGGGCAGAATTTAGAGCAAAGCCCCCTTGCAGGTGTTTCTCGGGGTCACACAGGGGCACGGGTGGGGGGTCCCAGAAGTGCCTTGTTGTGAACAATGAGACTTTGGTCCCAGAACTGCTGGAAATCGGGCCAGGCTCCTGGAGCATCTGCCGGGGGATGTGGGGCCAGCAGGTGCCTCTGGGTGAGCCGTGGGTGCTGCCTTGGCCTGAGCAGCGTGGCCTTGCCCCGGGCTGGGGCAGGGAGTGGGGAGGTTCTCCTGAGAGCTGTGCCAGCATTTGGGGCGTTCAACACCTTCTGCCCCAGCCCTCCCTGGGGCTGCCGAGGCAAGGAGAGCAAACCCGGTTTGAGTCACAGACATCTCTGGACTGTGAGCAGCATCTGGAGAGTTCTCTGGCACCAGAGCAAAGGAGGAGTCTGAAACACCTGCCTGCAATCCCAGCTCTCTCTGGGCAGTGTAAATTACCAGCTGCAACAGGAACAAAGCGTGAATTCTCTTTTTCTTCAGTCAATGCTTACATTTTGAAATGGCATGGGGATGGAGGGAGGCAAACTGAGCTGGGGAGAAGAGGAAAACAGGTTCTTATTAGACATCTACTGTTAGATATTTACTGTTATTAGATATTTATCTAGTATTAGATGTTTATTTACTGTTAGATATTTATCTGTTGTCAGATGTTTTTATTAGATGTTTATATTGATAGATGTTTACTATTGTTAGATATTTGTCTGTTATTAAATACCCATTATTAGTATATATTTAGAACAGAGACTTGGCAAGGTAAAGGCCTTGTTGAGCCTCTAAAGGGGGTAAATCATGCCTCAGGTTTAGCTTTTATATTTTTCAGGTTCTGTACTGCTTTAGTGTGTGGGTCTGGGATTTATATCAGGGGATGCCGAGCTCTCTGCACAGAGCAAGAGACAAAACAATTCCTGCTCCAGCTGGGCACCAAGGACAAATGATCCAAATCTCAGCCCAGGAGCACAAACCCCGTGGGCTGGAGAGAGAAAAACAAGCAGGGTGGGACTGCCTGGGCTAAAGCTGGAATGGGACAATGAACTCCAAGGTGCCAATGGAGCAGAACTGATCCCAGGGAGAGCCCCCGGGAGCGCTCGTGCGTTTTGGGGCCATTTCGGTTCATTTGGGTGCAGCCCTGGCTGGGCTCTGGTGCTGCCCAAGGTGGGTCCATGAGGAGATCCTTCAATAAATCCTTGAATAAATCCCTGCTTTATTCTGTAGCTCTGCCCAGCCCCTGCTCCAGCTCAGCCT